TCTGTGTGTCTGTGTGTGTGTGTGTGTGTGTATGTGTATGTGTGTGTGTGTGTGTGTGTGTGTGTGTGTGTGTGTGTGTGTGTGTGTGTGTGTGTGTGTGTGTGTGTGTGTCTGTGTGTGTGTGTCTGTGTGTGTATGTGTATGTGTATGTGTGTGTGTGTATGTGTATGTGTATGTGTATGTGTGTGTGTGTGTGTGTGTGTGTGTGTGTGTGTGTGTGTGTGTGTGTGTGTGTGTGTGTGTGTGTGTGTGTGAGAACCACTTCCACATTGTTTCCTGAAAGAATACACGTACGCTCAGCTTTTTGCTGCACGTTTAATCTGCACTAAGGATAATTGGACCGCTCTATTGTGTCTAAACCTGCTCCAGCGTAAATTAGGGGGTCCTTCAGTAAATAGCGAGGGGCGAGGTAAATCACTCGGCTCTATTTGAGTTTAGGAGCTGTAGAGGAGTTGTAGAGGTATTTATCTTCCTGAGAAATTCAAATAAAGCTATTACCATTAGAGGAGAGGTGGAGTTACGAAGCCCTCGAACAGGTCCTGGTGCTGTGAGAGTGTCGGGGGTCAGGGGTCGGGGGTCGGGGGTCGCACACCTCAATATTAGGTCAGCTGACACTCACCTGCCTGCGCCAGAATGAACTCCTGATATCGAACCCCGATGTTGTTCCTCGCCGTGCAGTTGTAGCGTCCAAAGTCTCTGTCGGACATCGGAGTCACCTGGAAGCGGAAATATTATATTTATGAGAGATTAGATTAGACGTACTTTATTGATCCCAAATGAAGAAATGTTTGCATTGCAGCAGCATAAAAACAACAAAACAAGGACCTGCAAAGATTTAAACATCTCAAAATAGAATTAAAACCAAATTAAAAAGTAGAAATTATACAGAAGACCGTGAAGAAAAACTATCTATAAACTCTACTAATATCGTTTAAGCATGATTATAGAGCAACACTGCAAAGCTTAACTCTTGACTATCCGTTCTACTCACTAACAATAATCATAAGAGTCTTGTAGAAGGACTTTTCTGTGTCTAAATGACATTTGAATGTTATTATAGTTCATAATTATTCTCATGTTTTGTATGTCCCTTCATATATTCAGTATTGCTTGACTCTCTTGGACCCACCTCCAGCACAGACTTGCCCTCGGCGCTGTGCACCCTGGTGTTGGTCGTGCCCTCTGCAGAGATGGTGAACCTCTCTCTCCTCCACAGCATGGTGGCCGGAGGGTTGGACATCACGTCGCAGCTGATGTTCACCGCGTTGCCCTCCCACGAGTAGAAGATGGTGTGGTTGCTCAGGAGCTTTGGGATATCTGCAGAGAGGGGAAGAGTACACACATCCTTTACTCAAGTACAAGCACAGATACTCATGTTTAAAAATACTCTGGTAAAAGTAGAAGTACTGACTAAACTTCTTTACTCAAGTAACATGTGAGAAGTAGAAAGTACAGGTATTTGTGTTCAACATGTAAGAAGTAGAAAGTACAGGTATTTGTGTTCAACATGTAAGAAGTAGAAAGTACAGGTATTTGTGTTCAACATGTAAGAAGTAGAAAGTAAAAAGTCATCAGAAAAATAAGTTGATTATTTGATATTGATACCAGAAAAATTTGCTTGAGTACAGTACCGAAGTATTTGTACTCCACTTCTTCCCACCTAGTTGTTAATTAACATATTACAGACAAACTACTAGCTTATTGGT